TTCAAGATCTTCCTTTTTGTAGTGATGTGCCAGAAATAACATACATTGTAACGCAATGTGTATTACTAAGTCAAATAACGTTTTCTTTCTTTAACTCAAATAACGTTTGACAATGAATGTATAGAATATTACTTCTTAAAAAAGAACAACCAATATTATTTCCGGCTTGTAGGCAGAGGCGTCAACTCTTTAACTAATCAAAAATTCATATCGAGCGTTTGGATATAAATAAGCGAAGCACCGTTGTATAAACAAGGATTAGTCACCGAATCGTATAGGGTATGGAGCAATCAAAGGCGCCTATTGTCGTAGCAGCCTTGTCTAGCTCAAACATTGTTATTCCTCGAAGGCCGCTCCGCGGCACCTGAAAGTATGTGGCAGTACTCGCGGGTGGCCTATGCCTAAGTGCCAATACATATCTAGAACCGTAAAAGAGGAACGAATGAGGAATACGTAACGTATCGAGCTATAAAAATTTAACGGCCACCTGTGAAGCTGATAAGAGACTCCTCTAATGAGCGACCTTTTAGTAGAGTCACAGTACTAAACTGCTTCCCACTTGTAATGCCCTTCTGGATAGTAGCAGTGCGATAATATTCTGCATCGTAAATTACAAATAATCTTCCCATCATATTCTTTTATTGATCTGTTAATCTGCTAATGTTTTAATTAACAAATGACATAAAGAAAGAACGATGACAGAGGAGACAAAATGAAGACAAGAGCCCGCGACGATAAATGGCCGCCGGAAAGCGACCGAAGCGCAACACAGTTGCATAACAGTAAATAAAACACGCGAAAAACGAGCGAAACGGCGCGAAAGTGTGCGCTTTTAAATACGCGCGACGTCGAGCGCGGTCGACTCAAAGACATTTATGTTCACTAAACAAGTAGTAAAAGTCGACGCTCGAGCGTTTTTATGACGCTCATAAATGTCAGATTGCGCGCCTCGGTTTAGCGGGGCCCAACCGACGAAGTCTTGCCGTAGCCCTAATTGATTCCGCGCTTTTTCTCCATCCCCCCTCGCCCCGCCTCCGTGATTCCGTTTGCACTCATCCGACGTTTATGACGTCCGTAAGCAGTATAATAAAGCGATTCCATTCCGTTTTCAGGTAACTATCCCGCCGCTGAATCGGTCATTAGCACCCCGTAATAAACGGTGAGTCCGCGGCAATTGCGGCTGTATGCATGCAGATCTTCTTTGTCTTTCCCTCAATAATGATGATCGTGACCTTATTTATGATTTATCTCCATTTGCCTCTGTCCTGCAATAGTTCGATAGATAGTTGCAGAGTTTCTCCTGTTGCCTCTAATATAATTTTACTCCATCGTGTTGGAATTTGGCTCTTGGAGTGGTTACCCCTCTAAGTTATCGGCATATATAGGTAAGTCGTTTTTTTGATGTGGAGCTCTTGTAAACTTGATTTGTTGGTCCTCATGGCTGTCTATGGTATCTTTAGCATTCCTCTCCAGCACCACATTTCAAAAGCACTTATCGTGTTTAGTTCTTGACTTTGAGACACCAGCTTTCAGCTTGGTACAGAAAAATAGAAAGCACTAAGGAATGCACTAGACATATTTTGGTAGCTCGACGTAAACTCTTCTTTCTTTCAACGCTTTTTTGACATGGCGCTTTAAGCAATTCCTATGCATGCAGATATTCGACATGAAAATGTCGAAATGCGCATCGACTGATTCAACACTCGGCATAACAAGAGCTGAGCTATAAAAGGCGAGCGCGGACGTTCGCAGACGGACGTGAGAATAGGTCCGCCGCTTCTTGGCTCAGTATGCAAATTGTTGCGTCGTTAAACACCAAGCCGTGGTTATGTTGGACATCCGCAACGGCTGCCTGCACGGTCGCGATTCGCCGAGCCGGACGCGTTTGATTGGCGTTAGTTTGTTCAATTATCGATAAGGAAGGAACAAACGGCTAAGATACAACTCCGAACTTGTTTATTGTCGCAGAGCCAGAACAAACGATGCACCTGTCGCCTGCTGCCGATGTTTCCAGATTACAAAGCTTGTGCCCGGTTCCGCTTTGTTTTACTTTTAGAGATGTTTGAAAAGTAGAGTAACGGTAAGAAGACGAAAAGATATCACTGACCGATAAGCAAAAGCCGTTTCCGTGCATACTGTATGCGGATTTTATAACGAAAATAGTATTTTTGTAATTATTTTGTCTTACAATGGTCGTAAACTCGCCACCGGGCTTAAAAAAATCCAGCAGAAGAAGCGAACATTGACGGCAAAAACTAGATAAAACTCATTATCAGATGTTATGACATTAAAATGACAAGAATCTAATAATGTAAGAATATTTTCCAGATGAAAAAAATGGATTGGTACTCACGTACTAAATTGTTTAGTAAGACATGTTTGTGTTTAGTAAGTAATTGAACATGATGCAGTAATAATAGAATAATGATAATGATAACGATAAAATAATGATAACGACGAACTTTACAGTGGCTTTGATTAAAAATATCAACGAACTTCATCAAAACAACTATCATATTCTATTTAATTACTGCTACAGTACTTAAAGACTCTCAGAATTTTACCTAGTCTTACATTCGGTGGATGGTACTTAGTTTTTATTTAGATTATTTAAATAACTTACGAAAGGCGCGCCAAAGTATTTTAAATGCGAAATTAGCCTTACCTTAATCCTTAACCTAAAATATCGAGCTCAACTCCTCCAGTTACGTCGTTTTGAACATAATTTAAGCTCTCTAGTTAATCAAAATGTTCATTCAAACTACGTTAGTTAACATGAAGTTAAACTGAACACACGACAAAGTAGTGAGTATTGTTAAATTCAAAAAACGTAATTTATTCGGTTACATTAAATTTTCTTTTTTCTTTTATTTATCATTTCTAACAGCTAAAATATCAAAATTGTGTCTCTTATAAACCGAAATTCTGTTTTATTTATCTGTTCACAACAAATTATAATTCATTTTAAATGTTCATCAATAATTGATTAGGCATTAAACATGGCTGAACTTATATAAAATTTTAAATTTATACAGGAAAGGTGAAATGGGAATCCTGAATCGATTGTTAGTACGAACACCTGCTGCCTAGGAGAGACGTGTGTATGGTTGATTTGTGGCTGTTATTGAAGGTGCGGTATTTCTTACGTCCGTTAACAGAATTTATTCTAAGGAAAACTAAGTAACCATTTCTAGATGGCGATAGAAATTTTTGGGGATATGATATATAGTTGCAAAACATAGACTAGAATATTAAACTCAATTCTAGAGTGCCATACATTTGAAACTATTTAAAGAATTTTCTTATAGATGATTTTGTAATCATCTATATCATCTATAATTCTATGAAAGTACATAATCTAATTTCAGTTTTTTTTTTCATCTAAATCTCTATTTCAACGTCTGAACAGCTTTACTAATGCAGAACTCTTCAGACAGTTCTTAGCTCATAATTAGGTTTTAAATAAAATTAAAAAATAATACTATGCGCCGTGCTCTAGTTAGTTTTAGAAAATTACTCCCATATTGAATAAATTTAGAACAATTCAGAGAGACCGAACCTATAGATATTTTTTCCACGTATGGTCACAACTACCTACGCACGTACTCATAGCTGTTATTTCCTCGCAATGTGATAAACAAAACTGGAAAGTAATTGTATATCAATCTCGAATAGCCCCGATTTCTCCGAAGGGTGCGACTCAAAATAATCGGTCGGCTATTCAGTGCGCGTCACGAATCTGTATCCATTCGTTAGCCTAGGTTCGGTTTCGCCGTGCAAAGTTATTGTTTCAACTGGATCTTTCAACATCTGCCTAACGCTGCCAAGAGTGACTTTCTACGCTTTTCTATTCTGCGAGCGGCTGGCCTACGTGCCGTTAGTGTTACGAGAGGTCGTTGGTGGGCGTCTGAAACCGCGCGCGACCGTGCTCATAAATATTTATGATCGATGGCGCTTGTTTACTTTGGCTAAAGCACGCGCCGAGATGACTCGGATTCGTGTGCTAATGACGTTATTTTGCACCTTCTCAGCCGGCCGGTATTTACCTCTTTAATGTTGCGGCAAAAAAGCCGTTACGGAACTTGAGTTACTTCAAACGAACTCATTAGCCGAGGATCCAACGTGGGGATTTGTTTACACAGCGGTTATTAAAGTGAGCGGTCCGGACTAAAAACGTTCTGTTTACTCCGCTCTTGGGATTTTCAAAGAATTTTGAACGTGTAAAGCACCTCTAGATGTGGATAGTTATTATTTCAATTGTAATACAACAGCATTGAATAAAATAATTAAAAAAAATAAACCCGATAATGTCATTACATGATTAAGTGGAAACTTCATTCAAGAGGAATCTTGAGACAATTTTTATGTATAAAATTATACACGTTACAAGGGCCAGTAAAGTATCGTAGCAAAATAAAGCTCGTGACATCACAACAAGCTCCTAGATAAAAAGTGAGCATATATCATTCCCCGTTGAAAGCCGCAATTAAAACAACAATATTTTCTCGATCACCTATCTAGCGCTTTGTTCGAGAGAAAGAAAACGAACAATAGTCGTGCGAAACTTAAGGCTCGTGTACATTGCCACGTTGCGATATTAAAGTTACTCGCGATAGGCAACGTGTTCTGGCTAAAGCAAAAAAAAAATTGTAACAGCCTATAAATGGCAAAGGCCTCTGTACAGAAGGGCATAGTCCACAACGCAACCCCACTGTGGATTGGCGGATTTCACACATCTTAAGTCCGCCAGACCAATTCCTTATTAGGAAGTTGGGTACTCACGCGTGAGTATAAATGAAGAACTGCCTGAAACCACAAAAGACAAGAACGAATCATAAAATTAGAACGAATCCCGAACTTGAGTCTAACCTTCGTTCGACCTTGAATTAAAGCTACGGGGTAATGCGATCTCAATCGCGATTAAATCGATGTCGCTCAGCGAAAATCTGTCGGTGTGCAAGGCGCCGCGCGGACGGATATTACAATAATGGTATCGATTATAATTTGCGTGCGATGCGGCGAGAGATACGGGCCGGGGCGACATTCAAGCGACAGCCCGCCCAGATCTTCGCCGCGATCGCCGCCAGCGGGCGCACAATGCTATCTCGGCCACCATCACGTCCATGCACCCTGGCGCTGTACGATTGGCCCTTCGCGCCTCCACGTGATAAGCCATCCGCGATTTTCCCGCCTGAATAGGCAGACGTGACGCTAGGCACCGCAGACCTCATCGCGCCTAATTTAAGCAACGTTCGGTACATGAAAACCTGCTACTGTAATCACAATAAAATTTCACAATAAAATTCCTTCATTATAGTTATACACAAATTATAAATATCTTATTTTTTTTTATATATTTTTGATTTAAAAAAAAACATAGCCCTTATTGTAGAATAACATTTATCCTGTGTTGTAAGGACGTTTTACAAACACCCAGATGCGTTTCACGCGGAAAAACACCCAGATGCGAAACAACTATCTGTGGGCCACACAAATAGTTGTCCCGTGTGGGTCGTTCCCCACACGGGACAACTATTTGTGTGACCCAGAACCCCGGGCGCCGAAGCCAATACCTTGGCAACTCGAAATTCGAATACTTTCCTATGCAATTGTCGATTTAAGGCGTAAACAGATTCATGACTTTGAACTTTATAGATATCTAAGCACTGTGTGAACGACCTGAGAGGTTAGGTCGATTTCTTTAGTGTGAAGTCGTGGCTGATATTGGTCGAAACCTTTTGGAAACGACGACATTAAACTTATGGCGTTTCTTTACTTCTAAGGTTGCATGTCCCAAGAATTCTCACACTCTTCAGCGTGTGAAAATTCTAAAAAAAAGTACTCAAAGTTTTCGCTTCCCGTATTAATATATATTCTACCCCAACATTGGGTAGAATATAATTATTTATAGTATTAGTAAATTTAGTATTGGAAGGATCTTGGAAGGAACATCGCTCTAGCTACTGAGAAAGAATTTAAGGTGTTTAATTGACTTTCTCATATCATGAACGTCAGTGTTATGATCTGGTAATTGATAGTAAAAACGGAGAAACGAAAAAAAAGAGCATTATATACGTTTTAAAAAATCTATTTCCTTGTGGCTTTTTTCCCACATATTTTGTGACTATATGAGTATGAGAGAATGTTTAAGCGCACGTTTGCACCGATAACATTAAAAGGTAAATTAATTTACCATTATTTCTCGTGGCAATCGAAATGTTTTAACTAAATAAGTATCTACGTGCACTACATCTAGTTCCTAGTTTGCGCTAGTGCCGCGTGCAACGCTTGTTAGACGCAATCAGTTTCCACATCTGAGAATCGTGCTTCAAGCGGCCGCGGCCCGCGAGACGTTCTAGAAGCATGCGCCGAGAGATTTTAAACTCGATACTTCGACGCGATATTAATTGTTCGCGAGACGTTCTAGAAGCATCCCGAGTGAGATCTTAACCTCGATACTCCGACGCGATATTAACTGTCCGCGAGACGTTCTAGAAGCATCCAGAGTGAGATCTTAACCTCGATACTCCGACGCGATATTAACTGTCCGCGAGACGTTCTAGAAGCATCCAGAGTGAGATCTTAACCTCGATACTCCGACGCGATATTAACTGTCCGCGAGACGTTCTAGAAGCATCCAGAGTGAGATCTTAACTCGATACTCCGACGCGATATTAACTGTCCGCGAGACGTTCTAGAAGCATCCAGAGTGAGATCTTAACCTCGATACTCCGACGTGATATTAACTGTCCGCGAGACGTTCTAGAAGCATCCAGAGTGAGATCTTAACCTCGATACTCCAACGCGATATTAACTGTCCGCGAGACGTTCTAGAAGCATCCAGAGTGAGATCTTAACTCGATACTCCGACGCGATATTAACTGTCCGCGAGACGTTCTAGAAGCATCCAGAGTGAGATCTTAACCTCGATACTCCGACGTGATATTAACTGTCCGCGAGACGTTCTAGAAGCATCCAGAGTGAGATCTTAACCTCGATACTCCGACGTGATATTAACTGTCCGCGAGACGTTCTAGAAGCATCCGGACTGAGATCTTAACCTCGATACTCCGACACGATATTAACTGTCCGCGAGACGTTCTAGAAGCATCCAGAGTGAGATCTTAACCTCGATACTCCGACGTGATATTAACTGTCCGCGAGACGTTCTAGAAGCATCCAGAGTGAGATCTTAACCTCGATACTCCGACGTGATATTAACTGTCCGCGAGACGTTCTAGAAGCATCCAGAGTGAGATCTTAACCTCGATACTCCGACGTGATATTAACTGTCCGCGAGACGTTCTAGAAGCATCCAGAGTGAGATCTTAACCTCGATACTCCGACGTGATATTAACTGTCCGCGAGACGTTCTAGAAGCATCCGGAGTGAGATCTTAACCTCGATACTCCGACACGATATTAACTGTCCGCGAGACGTTCTAGAAGCATCCAGAGATCTCAAACTCAATACTCCGACGCGATATTAATTGTTCGCGGCGCAGGTCATTAGCAGCGCGCTGACAAAACGAGATGCCCATTTAAGAGGCGGACGCCGACACGTACGGGGCAGGTGACAGCGCGGGCAAAAAACTCCATCTTCTTGCCCCTTTTATATCGCTTCCACGTAGTATTTAATGTTGACACGCCGCTCGGCAGAAGTGTTACGATTCCCCGCTAATAGGCGCGCAACGCTTAAGGTCATTCCGCAACTCGAATGTTATAATTGGATAACTTATGTGCCCGTCTCGACTGCCCAATGCGCGCTACAGTTTTTATCGGTCCAATTCTGATTTCCGATAATGACATCACTTTATGCGAAGAGCAATGCGCGGTTTAAGGCGCGTGGAGTTTCTTCGTTAATTATCCTGTAACAGTTTTTTTGGTCGGTTATTGAGTTATATTTTGCTGAGTGCTAATTAAGCGAAATGTATGGAAAAATATGTTTTTAAAAGTCCTCTTGCGTATATAACATTGATTTATAACATGTTCATATTAATTTTCATTTGAAATTAGTATTCAGGTTTTAAATATGTCGTTCGATTTTCTACCACAAATTTATAATACTTTTAGTATTTAAATAATTATATCAATAACTCTCTCTATAAAGCTATCTCTTAAGATTGTACTCAAGTATTCTTATTAACCAAATTAGTTATTTTACCTTCAACTAATGTTCTATGTTCCTTATGTGTTTTATGTTCTTAAACGACAAGTTCAACTGTAGATAATACCTGGAACTCTTTTTTGCTTATTACGTTGAATAAATACGTGTCGATTAACACACCACGACGCGCGAATTAACTACAAAACGAGCAGTAATTTAAATTCTACCATGAATTATGCGACAAAAAGTTCAGTAACCGTCTTCATAGAATATCAACTTCAGTAGCAGAGAATTAACCAAATCGATTTACATCGATTAATATCGGACCAATAATCACCTAACTGTCGATTTCCAAATCGTCGTTTTATGCTAAATAACGAAAAAGTATTCGTATCAATTTAATTAATATTCATAAACTACTGTTACGAAGCTTGCAAAATGAATGTGTAGAATAAAAATTTAAACAAATGTATTTGCTCTCGAATATTCGAAATGAATAAATTACCAGCTAGCTAAAAGTTTATTCTCCTATGAGAAGGTATTTTTTTAATTCTTTGTTCACACGCTGTTATATTTTAGCACACCAGTTAATTCATCATATATTTTACATTTTTGTTAATTCTATTTCGCTAGGGATTAATAGTTTTTAACCATTGAAAGTAAATAAAAAGCGTTTATTTTCATAATAAACTTAATAATACTGAATAAATTATGAAGTGTATTTATTCTATTATAATTTTCTTAACTCTTCTTAGGGTTCCGTACGCAAAGGTTAAAACGGAACCCTATCACTAAGATTAAATAATTAAACTTTTAGAACGGAAAAACTCTATCAAAGATATCGGAGTCATATTAGATAGCAAGTGGACTTTTTGGGAACATTACGAAGAAATTTCTATTAGATGTAACAAATTAGTTGGTTTCATTTTTAGAGTAACAAAAGATTTTAAATCGCCAAATAGTGTTATTTACCTATACATCACATAAGTCCGAAGTATTTTAGAATATGCTGATGTGGTTTGGTCAACTTATTATGCAATTCATGTATTTAGAATAGAAAACGTTCAGAAAAATGTGCTGAGGATGTTATCATACCGCTACCGCCTTAGACGGATGTTACCTGAATATGAGGAGCGATTAAAGTATTTTAAAATGGAGGGTCTTGAAGAGCTAAGGCAGCGCAGCTGTTTAGTATTTTTGTACAAAATTGTTAATTCGATAACACATACTGAGCTATTAGCCAGAATAAAGATAAACACAAATTATCGAAGTCGGAATGCTACTAAACTGAAACTATTTCACATACCATATAGCACAATTAAGTTTGCGTAAAATAACCCAATTTACAGAATGTGTTCCATCTACAATAAACTTGCTAGCAGCAATCATTCAATTGATATTTTTTACCAAAAACTGAGTGCATTCAAACAAATTATCACATGCCCATAATGTGTTTTGTTTTTTTTCCCTCTCTTATTTTTATAGTTTTTTTTTATTTTGTTTTTAGCAGCTTTTGTTTATAGCTTTTTTTTATCTAGTGTAAATTTAGTTGAATACATTTTTGCCATGATATCGTAGCATGTTGTGTACGCATAGTTTTGGCTGACAGTATGTAATTGTTTACCTTATTGAACTTTATTGTGATGTGTATATTACTGTTTGCTGTTTTGTTTACCGAATAAAATAAAATAAAATAAAAAATAAAATAAAATTCCGCTATCTGTCTGTCTGTCCGTCTGTCACCAGGCTATATATCATGAGCCGTGATAGTTAGACAGTTAAAATTTTCAAAGATAATGTATTTCTGTTGCCGCTATAATAACAAATTCTAAAAAACAGAATAAAAAAATGGGCTCCCATACAACACATACGATTTTTTTGCCGCTTATAGATAATGGTACGGAACCCTTAGTACGTGAGTCCAACTCGCATTTGGTTTTTTATTTACTTTTCCATGAGTAGTAAGTATTTCAATGCTAGTTATACCAATAAACGGGTTCTAATTTAGCATATGGCTTAAAGGAGTAATTTTGACTGTAGTTATCTTAATAGTTTTTACACCTTGGCGAAAGGATTTTCCAAAATTTCCAGTAATCGTGATGGACATTTTTGAAAAAACTATAAA